TGTTTTCCTTGCCTTAGGAGACATATCTAGAGAGAAGTTGCTTTGGCTGATGTCAAAGAGGTTACTATCTATGTTCTCGTCTAGGATTCTTATGGTTTCAGGTCTCGCATTTGGGTCTTTCATCCATTTTGCTCGGCATCACTGATCATCAGGGAAATACAAATCAAAACCACAATGAGCTAGCACTTCACATCTGTCAGCATGGCTAAAATCAACAACACAAGAAACAACAGGTGTTGGCGAGGATGTGGAGAAAAAAGAATCCACTGTTGGTGGGAATGCAAACTGGTGCAACCACTGTGGAAAAGAACATGGAGGTTCCTCAAAAATAGAACTACTCAAGATTCAGCAATTGCATTACTAGGTATTTACCCAAAGGATACAAAAATACTGATTCAAAGGGATACATGCACCCCAATGTTTTTAGCATCATTATCTACAATAGCCAAACTATGGAAACAGCCCAAGTGTCCATCAACTGATGAATGGATAAAGATGTGGTGTATGTACAATGGAATATTACTCGGCCATAAAAAAGAATGAAATCTTGCCATTTGCAAAGACATGGATGGAGCTAGAGAGCATAAGGCTAAGTGAAATAAGGCAGAGAAAGACAAAGACCATATGATTTCATTCACATGTGGAATTTAAGAAACAAAACAAACAAGCAAAGTGGGGGGAAGAGAAAGAAATCAAGAAACAGACTCTTAACTACAGAAAACAAACTCATGGTCACCACAGGGGTGGTAGGAAGTGGGGATGGGTGAACTAGGTGATGGGGAGTGAGTAAGGCATGCACTTGTGATGAGCACCCGGGGTGTGTACGGAAGTGATGAATCACTCTACTGTACACTTGAAACTAGTGTTACACCATGTGTTAAATGGAATTTAAAAACTTAAAAAAAGGTTTAAGTTTGGAATGATACACATCAGCTTTAGGACTCAGTCGAAGAGGGGCAGGAAGGAGGATGGGGGTGGTGTGCTGCTGTATTTGCAAAGCTAAGATTCACTGCGAAACGACAAAATGTTCACATCTGTGAAATCTGGGCGGTGGGTACATGGGCATCTGTTATATTATTTTTTGGACTTTCCTGCATGCTTGAAATATTTCATAATTTTTAAAAAGTTTAAGGAATTCTCCAGCTCCCTCTTAGCAGCTAGTTCCCCCTGCCAGGGGCACCTGCTATTATCAGTTTATTGTATGTCCTTCTGGAGCTATTCTAAGTATATATAAGCATAGATATATGAGTGTGTGTGTGTGTGTGTGTGTATACATATATAATCAATATAACCAACAAAATATTTTTATTTATCTCTTTTTTGTTTTTTCTTCAAATTTTTATTTAAGTTCTAATTAGCACAGTGCAATGATGGTTTCAGGAGTGGAATTCAGTGATTCATCACTTACACACAACCTCCAGGGCTCATCACAAGTGCCTGCCTGAATACCCACCACCCATCTAGCCCATCCCACACCCACCTTCCTCCACCAACCCTCAGTTTGTTCTTTCTTAAAAAAAAAAAAAAAAAGTAGGCTCCAGCCTCAGGGCAGAGCCCAAGGTGGGGCTCAAACTCACGACCATAAAATCAAGACCAGAGCCAAGATCAAGAGTCGGA